AAAAAAAAATATTTACAAGCAAATTTTTTATTGTAAAAATCATTGCACTTACCTGATTTATAATTCCCGGAGAATTCCAAAATGATAAGTTCCTTGTTTGAAAACTTTATTCTCAAATAATAGATACATAGTTTATCCCTTCATTACTTTTAGATAACATACTACACAGCAAAATTTTATAATTGATATGAATTTGAATATGTAGCTAAAAACAGAATAGCTGAATTCTAGTTGAACTTATTCTTTCAAAACTAAAAAATACTTACCAAGAAAACGATTAAAATTAATTAAGAATCAGCACAAATGGCACTATTTGAAGTAACTTGGATAATTTTTTATTGATGTTTTCCGATGTGTTTTGGATGTTCCTTCTCTAAAAAAAAGAGATACCATTTTGTTTTCGTTTGCATAAGAAAGGATATTAAACATTTTTCTTTTTTAAATTTAATTAGCCAAGATAAAAAAGGAACTTTACAATGCTACACGCTACATTAAAGACGTCTCTAGAGTAAATGAATGACTGTTCATACAGAAATCGCAGGTATTAGTCTCATACAACAACGCCCTCTATAGTTCGTTGCGATAGCGAATTAATTTTAAGGGGTTGCTAAGGGGTCACATTGAGAATTCTTTTGCAAATTTGAATTTTTCCTTTGAAGAGAGGGTATCGTATTAAAATTCATGAGTGCTATACTAAGAAAATGAAGAAACTTTTTGAGTAAATACCTTTTAAAAGATTTTTATTAGTATATTTATATGATTCCGAGACAGACTTAAAAGTAAAAAGGAGTGAAAGTGCTGCCATCTATATAACTAGTGTTCCCTCTACATTTGTGCGTTTTTTTAATCTTTATTTAGTGCATACATAACAGATTTTATTCCTCTCAACTTTTGAAACGAAACGAAGTGTTTCCCTCAAAGACTATTTTCCTGTGTTTGTCCGTGTCGTCTGTATAATATTTATTACAAATTGTTTATTTTTCTTGTGCTTAACTTAGTTTAGTTTAAATGTTGTAAACCTTAAATGTTATGAGAACGTGAGAGAAAGAACTTTCATGATATAAAGTAGAAAAATTAAGAATAATTGTGATATTGATACAGCCTACAAATCGCTTTGGATACTTTGTGATATATATTTTGTTTATTTACACGAGAATGATTGGACTTGATCGTTATTTAGCAAAGAAAATCAATACTACTTATTTTCAAAAACAAATACATAATTTAACTTCGACTTTCACATTTGTGTTTGTTTTGATTTTGCAATAAATATACTGGTAAGTACGCAACTGGTCGATTTAGCTATGCACATTTTCCTTTAAAAATTTTGATAATATTTGGATTACTAATTAAGGTACTTTAGCCTTACACCACGTTTCCAATCATCAATTGGATTAACGTTTTTAAGTGAAAAATTAATTCGTGATTTTTAATTGTGAAATAAATATTTGTGTCTCATTTAACCAATTTTCCTTAAATCTGAGTAACATATATAATTCCTAACTTTTTGTTGTTCTATAAGAATAGGATGAAATATATTCTTAATAGATTGAATTTAAAAATTTGCAGCTTTAGTAAAAATGTGTTAAAAATTTTATTCTTTATTTTTTTCTCTGTTAGGTTAGAAATATATGAGTAGTCTTGTATTTAATGCAAACAAAGGTTTTTAAATTGTTTGCGTAATTTATTAATTTTACTTCGTTATACTTTTTGATGGTGTTTATATATATAGTGTAAAATTGTAGGGCAGCAAATATCTTTTATTATACTACTACTTTTTATTATTTAACTTCACATATTCTTTTTATTTATTCATATTATTCTTATTTATCACGTATTCTTATTATTTACCTTCACTTTTGAAAATATATTTCTAACATGTAGCCTCTGGTTTTTATTTTAATTATATTTAAAATAAATTAATGGTTTTGTATTGATTGTAGATTTTATTTCTATAATAAATTTTACTGAATTTGAGAAGTATTAAAAATTTGTTACAGAATCGAGAAAGAAATATGTTTAATATAATACATATTATATAATAATATACATATATTTTTTTTTTGTATTATGCATGACAGAATTTATATTTGCTTTAAATGTGTAGTATTGTAAGTAGTTTGTATATCTTCAATTTTAAACTTAATTATTATTTGGAGTGTCTATATAAATTTCATCTCAAAGGGAGAAAAAAAGTTTCTATTTTATGAGCACATTATTTTAAGCATACCTGTATAATTAAATAGCCAATTTTTTGTTCAATAATGATTTCATGAAATTAATCCTTTAAATATTGCATTCATTATTAAGTATAATTTGCTTTTGCGAAATGGTGATTTTATTTTGCATTTTTTTAGAAGATTCATTAGTACCCATGTTAAAACGATAGCCAAATTTCAGCTTTAACTGGTTAGTGGTATTAATAAAATTTCTTAAAAATCACAATAGGAGCAAACTTAAAGGATTAAACGCTTAGCAATAGCAGGCAAACAACTTTAAGTATTTTTTGACAATAATTTTTCGTTCAAACACCATGGCAGGATTTCAATTATGTCTAACAAGTAACGCTGTGGAAATATCCTCATTCTTTTCCGAATAATTAAATACTCTTTGAGTTGTCCCCCCCCCCTTTACACTCTGCATATATAACTTCCCATTTGGCATTATTTGTGCTATAATTCTGTTATAAAATGTGCGCTGGCTAGCTTACATTTAGGTGCAATTCATTCTGTCTGCAAAGTGTTTAATGAACTAGGTTTCTTTTTTTAATTTCAAGCTGAAATATTCTGGACATTTTTTTCATTATTGTTATTTATTATTTTTTATTTGGTAATCTTCAGAATTTTTCTCATGCTTAATATTTTAATTTTATGGACAGTCTTATTGCTCTTCATACTCAACACTCTGCCCATAAAAAAAGTTCATAATATTTTTTATGTTATCAAGTAAATATTTAAAGAGCAGTGATAAAATTAGTAAAAAAGGAATAAGCAGCATTACTTTATTCATAGAAATATTTGATTCATAATACTTTTTAATAAATTATTTATTTGTACCTTATTAAATTCATTCTATAAAAGTTTTTGAGATTTATCAATTAATCGATAACAATTTAATGTATATTAATTTCATGTAATTTAATTTTTAATATGTTAAATGAGGGTTGTGTATAATTATTATTCATGTTGCAGAACATTACAGACTTCTTGTAGAAAGACTTTTTCTTTGGGAAGATAAGATTTCGGTTTTCATTTCTGCAGAAATTTTCACATTATATTTGAATTGCGCATTTGAATAATCACTTTTTTGTTGCATTCAATTTACGCCGATAGAATCGTAAATCCATGTAGGGGTTCGATTGTTTTTTCGGCGGTTATTGATTTTTACGTGGTTTTAAATTATCCCAATATATTTCAGATGATATGGGAACTTTGAATCCTGCATTCGAGCATTTACTTTTTAAGGCAATGATTCTATCATTTTTTTTTGGCAATTATTTTTTTTTCAATTCCATATAGTTTTTAAAATCCGATATTATTTATTACAACAATCAAATCTTGAAATGAAATACGCATTTGAGTAACCTCTTTCTTAAGAGTCCTGATTCCTGTGATTTCGTGGTTGATCTGTTTTTCGGTAATTATTGCTGCGGGATTCGTGATTTTAATTTATTTAATGTGATGGTTTACAAAGCTTCGATAAAGTAAATAATTATTGCGTTTTTTTCCGTAACAAAATGTGAGAAAGTAACCCATAATATTAGAATAAAAAAATATTACATATTCAATAAAAACAGTTATGTTTTTTTTACAGCGTTTTTGTTACTTTAAATTAGTAACACACATCTTTGGTTATTATTGAGAGTATTTTGTAGAATATTAGTGCTAGAGAGTTTTGTCGCAGAAAGCCCAAAAAAACTCTGCCACAGGGATTATTATAGTAATTGCCGTAATGAATTGTGGAGGTCTATTTATATTTAAGTAACTGTCACCAATTCGTAAATAAAATATTAAGAATGTGATAAGGCTGACACACATTTCTCAGGCTAGGAATGCACAGTAATTTAAATGCTTGCTCGTGTTTATTTGCTTTAAACCTTAAATCACATTTAATATTGTTATTTTTTTATGCGAGGAATTTTATTAACCTTTATAGTATTAGAATGTTTTTTTCTGTTTTCAAATAAATTATAGAATTATTAGGGGTCTGTTCAAACCTAATTTACTATTGTTTAGCGGTCGGTACCTTCACAAATTCAACTTTAGAAAATTTCTAAAAAATTTTTTTCTTAAAATTTTATTTTTGTATCCCATATGAAACAATAAATCCATATTTTTTTGTTGATTTTTTAGTATAATTTTTCATTTTCAAAAATTATGTCTAAAATTTTCACAAAATATGTATCTCTCAGAAAATCGTAGACAGACCCCTGATTATATAATTAAAAAAATTTTTTTAGATTTTCTTATCCTTTTTCCATTTCAGTACTTTTCTAATTCCCCTCTTTAATATTTTTCCAAATCTCTCTTGGCACTCCACAGCCTTTATAAAATCATAGCTAATGCTAAAAATTTTTGCAAAATTTGACCAGTTTTTTCATTCTTCTACTTTCCATCCCATAACACGTTGGCTTTTAAAAAAATTTCTTAGTTCCTTTGTCTCCTTGCAGACACCTGATTATTAAGTTTTGAGATACATTTTTGACTAGAGAGTACTCCTACGAATTAATATAGGTTACGATCCTATAGTACCTCGGAAGACTTTTAATTTTATAAATTTTTTTCTTATTATTTTTTTATCATTAATTTTAATTTTGAACCAGGCATATCACCATTTAATTAATTTCTTTGAGTGTGTGTGTACTGTATAGTTATTTTAAAGATCTAAATTATTTTAAATTTGGTGCAACTTACCTCATTCAGCATTTATAATGCAATACTATAAACGAAAGTTGCGCAAAACAAGAACTTAAACTTTTTTACTAGATTATTGCAGAATGCAGATATTCATTGGAATCAAACAGTCAGTAGGATGTTAATTACGTATGAAAAAAACATTAAAGTTGTTTGTTTACCACCTTTAATGCTTTCATAAATTTGATAATTTTTTTGATTTTTTTTTCACCACTAATTATTATTATTTTTTTTTTTTGGTGATTGGGTATTTTGGTTAAAACCTATTAGTTATTATTTTAAATTACTAAAACTTTGCATCATGCTAAGTTACTTTTTTCTGCTTATTAGCATTTTCTGTCAAAATCTTCTTCAATAGAATAAAAGTCAGATAGAAAAAAATTATTTACTACAGGCTGGTTCCCCATTCGAAATCTCTGGATACAGTGCTTCAACTGTAATGTGTAGAAACACATGAAGCCAGTAGCATTGCAGAACAGCATGATCCAAGTTTTATTTGCGATTTTTGTTTTTAAATCTGATGAACCAACTTATTTAAAGTTACAAATATATTAAATTCAAAATTACTTAAGTTCTTCAGTTTTTAAACCCTTGTATATTTTTTAATATGGAAATATTATTTTATTAAATTAATTCAATTAATTAAATATTTCAGTTGGAAATTTTTTTTTTTCACTACTTCAACTTATGTCCCACTTTATCTAACTGTATTGGGGAATAAAACCCGATACTGACATATTTCTTAAAAATAATTAATTTGCCCCTCCAAAATATTTTTTTTTTTTTACATAAAATGTTATTTAATTTTGAACTTGAAAAACTTATTAAGCAATTCAATATCATCAAATAAGGATTAAAAATTTTTTATTTATGTAGCTGTGTAGAAAAAAAAAGAGGAAATGTATAGACCCAAATTTGTACAACACATTCAATCCAAATTACATAACAAAACTACGGGAGATATGTATGTTTTCACTTTGGTTATCCATGGTCACATTTGATAGGTTTCATTATTTTCATTCTATTGTATTTATAATTATTGTGTACTTAATAATTTTGCCAGGAGTGAGTACAAAAGCACTTTTCTATAAACTGAATTAACAAAATATGTTATAATTTATTGTGTATTATAAAATCCATTATTAAATAACTTATAATTCTTTGTTGAATTTTAGGGAAAATTCTGATTGTTGTTGTTTGAATCATCTTCTTAAACAATTTGATACCTAATTTTTATGTTTATTACCAAAGGACTGAAAGATATAGTGGCGTAAGTATTTTTCTTTCTTTCTTGGTTTAAACTTAAACATTTTACATTTAAGCTAAACCATTCTTAATGCTAATCGTACACCCATATTTAATACATACCCGTATTAAATACATAATTTAATAACTGTTTTCTATATATCATCTGAATTTTTAATGCAAACTGATATATGAGTATAATCTTTAGGGTAAATTAACTGATTAATTGAGAAACTGCTTTTTTATTTAAACAAATTTATATTTTGTAAAAATACTATTACAAATCTAATACTAATTAATTCAACTGACGAAAACCTTTACATTTTGCTATTTTAGTAAATTAAAAAAAAACAAAACAAGATTCTGAACAAAATTTAAAGAATATTTGTATATATACATATTTAAATTTAACTATGTACTGGAAGTAGTGTGGGAATGGCAAATATTTTAAAGGAGTTGAGGATTCTTCAAGGACTATCATCAATGACAATGAATGAAGCTAGGAATTTTTTTTTTAATTAATTAAATTTTTTAAAATTTTTTTTTAAAATTAAATTCTCCAGCAGGAGTAGAACTTGGGATCTACTAGTTACAAAGCAGCTGTCCTATTAAGAGTGCTGCACTTTCACATTCAATGGATAATTGTTTTAGGAAATATCATTAAATGAACTAAAACTTTGTGTGTCATATCTTAATCCCAGGTGCCATATTCGGGTAAAATTGGTACCCATTCCATACTTTCGACCTTGCTCTTAATTGAAACTTATTTTGCTCTTAATATGGGATTTTGCAGATTCGTACATCTCTTTTTTTGCATGGCATCTTTCCGTTTTATATTTTGTATATCCTTACATTTTTGCATCCAAATAATTTGAAATAAAATAATATATTATTTTGAATAATTTGATTTTAAAAAAATTTCAGAAGTACAGAAAATTGGAAAAATTAGTTTAACTTTTTTATGTTAAATTATAGTTTGAATGAGTTAACATATTTTATGTGGACTACTTGAATATAATTAAATATTGCACTTTTGTAAATTCTTAAATTTAATTGCAATTTTTTGCATTCAATAGCAACTTTTATTGTGCTGCAATCACAAAAGGAAATGATCATATTGAATTTCTTAAGGTGGCATCTTAAACTAACACAATTACGTTCTTTATCATCTTTTCTAACTATGCAGTAATTCTAGATACCGATTAAAAACTTGCTATCTTAAGAAGAGCTACATCATATAAATCTTATTGACAATATTTATTTATTCAAACCTTTTTTTTAAAGTCTCAGTTATACATAAGACAACTACTAATTTTAAATCTAAAGACATATCTTAATGGTTTTTAGGTAATGGTACATTTATCTCAAGGTCGCTATAAAACATTAAGTTTTCTTTTAAAAACTGCGTGGATGTTGTGAGTTGAATATTCTATTCTATGTTTTACCTGTTCCTTTTGACTTGATGAATATACATAGCTTATGTTGTTTTTAAATGGGTTTTATTTGAAGTTACAGTAGAGTCCCGATTATCAGAGTTAATGTGGACTACGAACTAACTCGGATAACCGAAAACTCGGTTAAAGCGGAGATAATAAAAAAGGAAAGAATTTGTATAAATGTAATATATTTAACAAATACAAAATTTATGCTAGTACACCATATACAATTCCTATTATAATTTAAAAACCTACTTAAAAACACTGAAAGAGCCTACTTTACGAGAATTAAGGAGTTTTTACTTTAAAAAAAAAAGCCCTTAATCGTTTTTTTTTTTTTTCGTTTTGCATTACTTGGCGCTTTTCTGCAACAATGTTTCGCCATTTTTTTTTGAACAGAAAGGCTGATGTTGCCTCTTGTTGTTATTATTCAATAGCACTATATATTCAATAGCACTTTCGATAGCTTTTAGTCTGTCTATCTGATGAGAGACTTTTGTATGTTGATTTTCATCGTCACTGTCTTCATCATCTTCGCTAGATCCATTTTTATTATTGACAATATTAACGATCATTTCATCGGTAATCTCGTGTTGAAAGTCAGCTTGTTTTCCTGAGTGTTTGGAAGATAAAATTCCGAATTTTTTCCAGCGGAAGTTTTTGTAAAAAAGAAAAAAAAAGAAAATCCTTGAAATATTTTATAGCTCGGTTAAAATGGAAACTCGGATAATCGGGACTCAACTGTATAAGGATAAGAGATTTTTAGTCCCAACGATTATTTATGGTAATAGTATTTTACGTATTATAATTAGTCACGTAGTATATTACGCTCTATAATTAGAATTCGAATTACAAAATACAACTTTTTCTGTTTAATTTGTAATTTTTTTTTTTTACCGTTTTTTATTTCAAGGATATTAAATACGTTATTTTCGTGGTAAAATCGAAATGAAAAGTAACCTTTTTTAAAGATCATCTTTAAGATAATAATTAAAAAAATTTTCATTTTTTGGAATGATTAATTTTGATGTGTAGTTCTGATAGATACTTTTCCTGATGTAGTTTTTTTCATTATTGAAAGTATTCTAATAATAATATGATTTTTTTCTTTTTCGAAGTAAAGTATGTTTGAAACATTATTACTGTACATGTTCCTCAAACAAAATCTCTTTTCTCTCACGAAAAAGCTCATAGATAATTTTTTTCTCTTGCAAATTTTGTGTTGTCATAAAATTACACCACTATGAATTATTTATTATTGCTCAGAAAAACCAAAGCATTTTATAAAATATTTTTTTCCATCAAAAACATTTAAATAACACTTGAGGTCCAATTAAAATCTGTCAAGACATGAGTAGTTGGTTCGGTAGTAGGTCGGATTCAAAATTATTGATTTTAAATAAATTATCTTTAACTTGCTGGAGCGGATATATGCGAGTTCATTAATGTATGTTGAAATTTTTTCCTTAAATTATGAAAAGTAAGAAACATTATCTTTTTTTAGAAGAAATTTCCATTATTTAAGAGTTAATTATTTTAATCGAGTTTTCGCATCATTGTTATTTGATATTATTATTTTTTTTTTGTTGGTATTTTTGCAATAAGTTACAAATAATTGTCCGAAAATAGGATTGATCTACCATCCTTACGATCTAATTATTTAAACAACTATTATAAATTCATTATACATTTGATAAAGCAGCTTGATTCAATTTGATATCATAGTTGCCGACGTAGTTTGGAAGGCTGCTTCTGATCCTGTTTTTAATTTTATTCCTGGTAGTGAGTTCAGCTCAGGGTTTTTCTTTCAGTCTGTCTGCCATCAACTATGAAAGAGAACAGCTGGCGATGTGCTATTCCATTTTTGTTTGTGTAAGCCTGTCTCATGACGCTTAAACCGAGTCTGCTGGTAGTGATAGTGTTTTCCCGAAAAATCATGTTTTCGTGATTTTGTTTCATATTTTTTAATAAACAGATTTCGCTTAACACGCATTATGAACGCCAATTTTTGGCACGACGTGTCATAGACGTTTTGTTTTCTTTCCTACTTGTATTTTTTATTCCTTTTACCCTATTTCTTTTTTCAATCATTAGTTTTGTAAATGCTTTGAATGTAATAACCGCATATTAATTACCCGGTATACACTGTACAGTTGTGTTTAAACAGGGGGCGTAGCGTTTTTAAAAAGTGCTTAAAGGTGCTTATTTTTGATTTTCATTTTTTAAAAGCGCTTAAAGGTGCTTTTTTCATTTGGTGTTTTTAAAAAGTGCTTAATTTTCCCCTTTTCTAAATTAGATTTTTCCTTTACTATGTTGAGTTTCGCTTCGAATTATGCTAAAAGACACAGTTCACATTGTTTTATTCAACGTTTTGATATTTTTTTTAAGTGCTTGAAAATATTTTTTGAGTGCTTGGAAAGTGCTTAAAGGGTGCTTATTTTTTGTTGAATAATTTGACTACTCACCCTGTTAAAGTATTAACTGTTACTTGCATTAATTTTAAAATTATATGTTTTATTGTGCAACTTTTCGAAAGTTCTTATCACGTTTTTATTATTTTTTTTTTGACACATTGGCAGATTTTTTTGGAGTTTTTTGAAAGAGAACAACTGAAAAACTAAAACTAAAAATCGGTAATCATGCGTTTCTCTAATAGTGCTGCATATTTATGGTATCATTGCTGATAATGGATGTTTTGCACTAAAATAATCTAGTATTATTATTTTCACTATGAGATTAATAAGGAACAATAGTTATTAATAGACGCTTATTAAGTACTTTTTAATGGATTACCTATTGATCTTGTTGAATTTAAAATTTAATACCACGTGGTTTTTAATAAAAATTTTCACGCTTTATGAACTTTACTGGAATTAGAAAATTACATTAAAAATATTTTTTTAAAAAAAAAACATACTCTTATAGAACGAAGAGCTCTTCACTATCAGCCGATTAATAATTTGCATTGATAATTATTGATAATATAATTGTTCTTACAAAGTATCTACCTAATTTTGAAAAAGTTACAAAGTTTTATATTTTCATTTTGGAATATACTGTGAGCTATTGCATTGCCAAACCGGAAATAAATTTCATTCATACTAATTCTTTCATAAACTAAACTTAAAATCTTGAAAATTTTACTATTATGGTTCCTTTTTGTTGATCATTAAATTTCAATCTAGAAACAGCCGAGATTGCCAGTTATAAACTTCCATTTGATTTAACTGAGCAAAATTTAAAACTTGCTTTGCACCTACTATTTGAAATTGATCATGCAGCATCCTGCTATGATTGAGTGATCCCAGGAAGCTTAGCTAAGACACATCCTTATATTCATTTCCTTATCTACTTGCGACAAAGAAATGCAGCTCTACACTTCGTGGTTTCATATTTTTTCTTCTCCTTTTTCTCATGTTGTTTACCCCGTTGATGATTAATAAAACGCAGTCAATATTATAGCTTTTCTATTTGTCAGACCATTATTTTTTTTGCTAATGGCAGAGATTATTTCGTTATACAGCTATAGCTGGATATAGTTTTGTCTGAAGCAGTGGTCTAGTAGACTTTGTATTTGGTTTAAGTGTGA